AGAATGACACCAACACTTCATACCTCCACCCTGAATAGTGGTGTGAAAGGAGTGATGCTGCAACTATCTTGGCTACTGTTTACAGCCCCCCCCAAAAAAAACACCTGTGGTGTGTGATTGTGGTAGTAGAGTTTAATGACCTCCCCGCCCCCCCATTGGCACCTGTAAGGAGGTGCTGCTTTTACCTCCTAAGTTAATAACTGCTGACAGAAGGTGCTGTTGTTGTTGTTTAGTCGTTTAGTCATGTCTGACTCTTCGTGACCCCCTGGACCAGAGCACGCCAGGCCCTCCTGTCTTCCACTGCCTCCCGCAGTTTGGTCAAACTCATGCTGGTAGCTTCAAGAACACTGTCCCACCATCTCGTCCTCTGTCGTCCCCTTCTCCTTGGGCCCTCCATCTTTCCCAACACCAGGGTCTTTTCCAGGGAGTCTTCTCTTCTCATGAGGTGGGCAAAGCCTTGGAGCCTCAGCTTCACGATCTGTCCTTCCAGTGAGCACTCAGGGCTGATTTCTCCACCCCCATCGTTCAGCCCGGCCACTGAGGTCCAGCGCCGAAGGCCTTCTGGCAGTTCCCTCATTGCAAGAAGTGAGGCTACAGGGAACCAGACAGAGGGCCTTCTCGGTAGTGGCGCCCGCCCTGTGTAACACCCTCCCATCAGATGTCAACACAGTCAAAGGTTTTTGCGTAAGGTAAAGGTAAAGGACCCCTGACAGTTAAGTCCAGTCATGAACGACTCTGGGGTTGCGGCGCTCATCTTGCTTTACTGGCCGAGGGAGCCGACGTTTGTCCGCAGAAAGTTTTTCCGGGTCATGTGGCCAGCATGACTAAGCCGCTCCTGGCGAAACCAGAGCAATGCACGGAAACACCATTTACCTTCCCGCCGGAGCGGTACCTATTTATCTACTTGTACTTTGACGTGCTTTTGAACTGCTAGGTTGGCAGGAGCAGGGACCGAGCAACGGGAGTTCACCCCGTTGCGGGGATTCAAACCGCTGACCTCTGATCGGCAAGCCCTAGGCTCTGTGGTTTAGACCACAGTGCCACCCGCATCCCTGGTTTTTGCGTAGTCAAGCTCAAATCCTGTGAGAGTAGCTTGGCTGCTCTTGTGTTTTGCTTCTTCAGCATGTAGTAGAAGTTTTGTGGAAGTGTTGTTTTTGTTGCTATTGTTATCATTTTTATACTGCTTTATATTTTAAAGAAAAATCTCAAAGTGGTTTACAACAAATTAAAACATCAAATAAAACAATCCATAATAAATTAACTTCAAGCTTCAAGAAAAATTCAAGCATCACTCCCTTAACTAATGCGTGTCCTTTTCCTTATCTGAAATGGGGATTTATGACATCTGTTAGTTTTGAGTTAAATTCCAGTATAGCCTTTCACTGAGTTTACCAAGCCCGCTGAAGGAGTTGGTGAATAAATCAACAATAAGCTTTTATTATTCAAATAGATTAATTTTCTGCTATACTAGGAAAGCCAGTATTTATAGTCACAAAGGAGTGTAGGGGAAAGTGGTGAATTAAGGAGTGTATTCAGTGCATGGGGGCCATTAACTGCTTGATCCCCCTTTCTCATTCTTTGCCCCCCCCACCTCTTCTCCTAGCAGGAGATTTGCATTGCCAGAGTCTCTTGTGCTCAGGTGAAGACCACACCCCTTGTTGTGAACGGGTTTTTCCCCCTGTGTACAATGGCATAAAATAACCCTTGATAGATGCCATTTGCAAATGATGAAAGGCAAGAGTTGGATCTGTATGGGGGGGGATTTAATATTAGCTGTTATTGTAAGCTCTATTTCTTTTGGTGGTGGGCCAGGAAAGAAACAGCAGAACAGAGGAATGACTTAGTGATTTCATCAGGTGAAATTGGGTTGTAGAGTTGTGCGGCACTATTTCTACATGAATCTGCTCTGTATTGTATTTTAGCCAGAGCAAAGCACAAAGTTCTGACTTTCACATTGAGAAGTTTGTATCTCAGTCGCAAAAACCTGCCTAGGGATTACGCTTGGCCTGTGCAGCCTTCCCCTGGGCGTGATTGTGGGGGAAGAAAAGAAAAGGAGGATTAAAAATCCATCTGTTTTTCAAGTAGCAAATGGTGAAATCTATTTTTGTTCTCTTTTTTGTGGCTGCTTTCCTGCATTAAGGTTCAGAAATGCTTGTCTCCTCCCTAATGCACCCCAGAATCTCTGGCCACCCCCTGATATCCAGCTATGATCTAGCAGTAGAGAAGCACCTGCAGCCAGGACCCAGACTCCTAGCTACTAGCAGAACTGGAATAATGAACAAAATGAGCTGAAGCAAAGGGTTGAAGTGGATATGCAGGGCTTTTTTTTCCAGCTAGAACTCTCTGGAACTCAGTTCTGCCACCTCTCAGGTGGGTGCCATTGTCATTCTAAGAGAACAAGGGAGGTGTTAATGGTGAGTTCCAGCACCTCTTTTTCTAGAAAAATAACACTCTGTATATGTCACCTTTTTGGTACTTCTCCCTGGGTATCTTCCATAGGATAACGTAACCCAGTAAACTGCCATCTTGTTTGCTGAAAATGCCTTGGTGGATATAGTAACCTAAATGAAGTTTCTGAACACATGCATCACCGTAAGCCCTTCAAAAGTTGACTGGCCATTAATTGTATTCTGCAGTTAAAAAACAGCAACCACTTTTAAGTGGTTCTAAAGTCCCTAAACTCCCCATTTTCCCAAAACAAACTAAAGAAAAGCCCCACAACACAAAGCAGGTTCACACAGACCACACTTAAATCACGGAAGGAAAAATCAGGAGCCTTGTCCTCAGCCTTATCCCTGCTAATCCCCTTGGCCCATCACCCAGAGTTCCCCTATGCAGCACAGCGCTTCCAGGCAAGGGTATGGCAAGTCAAAGGCCTGAACCACCTCATTTGTTGTTGTTGTTTAGTCGTTTAGTCATGTCCGCCTCTTTGTGACCCCCTGGACCAGAGCACGCCAGGCACTCCGGTCTTCCACTGCCTCCCGCAGTTTGGTCAAACTCATGCTGGTAGCTTCGAGAACGCCGTCCAACCATCTCGTCCTCTGTCGTCCCCTTCTCCTTGTTCCCTCCATCTTTCCAAACATCAGGGTCTTTTCCAGGGAGTCTTCTCTTCTCATGAGGTGGCCAAAGTCTTGGAGCCTCAGCTTCAGGATCTGTCCTTCCAGTGAGCACTCAGGGCTGATTTCCTTCAGAATGGAGAGGTTTGATCTTCTTGCAGTCCATGGGACTCTCAAGAGTCTCCTCCAGCACCAGAATTCAAAAGCATCAATTCTTCGGCGATCAGCCTTCTTTATGGTCCAGCTCTCACTTCCATATGCCTGTTGTCTTTGTCCATGGAGTTTTCTTGGCAAGGATACTGGAGTGGCTTGCCGGTTCCTCCTCCAGGTGGATCACGTTTGGTCAAAACTCTCCACTATGACCTGTTCATCTTGTGTGCCCTGCTCGGCGTAGTTCATAGCTTCTCTGAGTTCTTCAAGCCCCTTCGCCACGGCAAGGCAGTGATCCATGAAGGGGGCACCACCTCATAGACTTCTGCAAAAATTAAAACCTCATACCGATACAAGAAATACAAAACAAATGAGTGGACAGCCAGAAACCCTGGCAGACCTGTCACCAGCTATGTGTCTTCTTAAACAACCCAAAAACAATGAACAGGGTGGTGATACAGTGAATACTGAAATCGAAACAAGATGATGTCACCACAGCAACTATCTTTAAACAAACAATAAAGGTCCAGGAGTTGTTCAGCAACCACCCGCTCAATCACCTTTCCCAAGAATGGAAGATTTGAGACTGGGCGATTGTTGGCCATACTGGCCGGGTCTAAAGATGGTTTTTTAAGAAGCGGTTTAATGACCGCCTCTTTCAGCAGATCTGGGAATGTTCCCTCACAGAGGGAAGCATTCACCACCCCGCAAAGCCCACCGCCCAGCCCTTCCCGGCTTGCTTTTATTAGCCAAGATGGGCAAGGATCAAGGAGACAGGTGGTTGGTTTCACGCGTCCAAGCAGCCTGTCCACATCTTCGGGGGTAACAGATTGAAATTGATTCCATGCAACTTGACCAGACAGGGCTCTAGCACTCTCCCGCCCCAGCCCTGCTCCCACGGTGGTGTCTAGCTCCTTCCGAATATGAGTGATTTTATCTGCAAAAAAACTTTGCAAAATCGTTGCAGGAGATCTTGGGGTCTGTTAGATTGCAAACCACCTGAAAGAGTCTCATGTATGGTAAACTCCCCCTACTAGAAAAACTAATGAACCGAAACTATCATGGTAACAAACAAACCAGGACCCTGGAGTGGCTTCGTTTTACTACATACACAGGCTAGAAAGACAACGACTGATCCACTCCAACGACATATGAATCAATATGGCTAACTTAACCTAGCAATACCCCTCCCCCCCATCAAAACACCCTGCAGCCAATCAACTGCAACCATCTACACTTTGGGCCCTCTGATCTCTCTCTCCGCCAGCAAAAATAAGATAGCTATCTACCAAGCTCCACTCATATACTCTGCGAAGAATGAAAGTTTACTGTCTCCCCAACCCCCTCCCTCCCTCCCTCCCTCCCTTCCTTCCTTCCTTCCTTCCTTCCTTCCTTCCTTCCTTCCTTCCTCTCTTTCTCTATTTCCCCCCACCCTCCCCCTTTCTCTTTCCCCCTAAACCCCACATTGTCTACAACAAAAATGTCTCAAATTGGCTGTAATTGACCTGTATGAAAAGTCCTACAATTTGACACTGAAGGTATGGGAAATCTGTTAATAAAAACATATTCTTGATGATGATGATGTCCATGTCCATAAACTCCTTCTGACAAAGGTCAGCCCATACAGTCAGGTCTTAAACACTTGACGTGCCTTTTCACCTTCATTGCATTCTGGACAGTGGGAGGTGATGGAGCTGGCAAGAGGATGCGTTGTCTCTGCCTTGGAGATTGTTGGGAATAGTGTTGCCTCTTGTGCATGCATGTGCTGATGTTGCTTTTTTTTTTGCCTTTCAGTTAACCGCCTGCATCCATGGCTCTGCAGCTATGCTTTACCCAATGTTTTGGCAACATGTTTACATTCCTGTCCTTCCTCCACACCTCTTGGACTACTGCGGGTAAGGCTCCACGTGTCTTTTTATTTAAAACTGAACTTCCGTCTTATGAACCTGAACTTCTAAAGATTTCAGTGGTTTGGGTTTTTTTGTTTGGTTTTTTAACAATGCAGCTGTTCAAATCTGTGTCAAAAACATGTGTGTGTGAATATTAAGTGGCTGATCCAGAGATACAGATTTTTCATGGCCTAATTTAATAGTACAGGACTTGTAACTTGCTGTAACATAAGTTTCTATGGAATATTTTCATAAAGGAATTTAATCATATAGAATACTCTCGCTGTCTGCATTTGAGTTGAGAGGAGATCAGCAATATGGTTTTTTTTCCTTTATTTTGAGTTCCTCTCCTCAAATTCAGAAGTTGCTTTGCTTTGCTAATTCCCACCTGTTCCTTATTGTGACTTTCAGATAGTCTTGCACTAAATAAAAATTGGATGTTTGCAGAGTGTGTGGTGAAACCTGCTCCTTTTCATTCCTTGTTTCACCCTAGCATATAGCATCCTCTTTCCACAGTGGCAGTTTGCTCAAATTCTTGGTGTCCATTATCTCAGCCTCCACCCCTCAGGTGCCTCTTGTTCCCTTGCTAACTATAGCCAAGTGACTCCGACTCTGCCTTTGCACATCTCTCAAGTTGCAGTCCTTGGGTGAAGACAGACGTGCCATTTTAAGAACAGGAGATGCAGCTTTTTAACACCTTTGATGCCCTCAAGTCACAGACACATTTTCCCCTCCTGTGTTGAGCTCTCAAGGGGTGATGGGGTGGCTGTTCTTGCATGTTTTCTGTGTGGTATCAGGCTGAATTCAGGAAAATCCCAACACCTCAAGAAAAACCCCTTCACCCATATGAATCTACGTGGGTCCTAAAATTAGCATCTGAGGCTTTTCCCCATGTCTCCCTTCCAATAGATGTCTGGAGGGTGGCGCCAAGGGAGGAGGCCCTCTCTGTGGTAGCCCCTTGCTTATGAAACTCCTGCCCCAGGGAGGGAAGGTCACCTGCCTTCAGCACTGTCCGCTTTTCGGAGTCAGGGGAAGGCATATTTATTTCCCCAGGCATTTCAACAACAACAATAGTGCTATGGCTTTTGGTGACCTAGTTGGTGTTCATTCTTGCAGTAGGTGAGAGGAGGATACCTTTGTTTTTAAGTGATGATTATGGAGTGCACTCTGCTTTGTTTTTGTTGTATAAGATTCATTTTCAAAACACAAAACCCAGAACAGCGACTGCCTCTCCCCACATATACCACAAAGAACTACCCCTGTACCCACACAACCTCACTCCCGGAACAGATGGTCAATTTGTCAAGTCCCGCCATAACCTCGTTTATGAGTTTGGTGGATACCAGCCATTGGAATGTTTGTTTGAGAACCTTATAAAGGGATACCATATTTATACAAAATGTAAGTCACTTGAGGGCACAAGGAGAAGGGGATGACAGAGGATGAGATGGTTGGATGGTGTTCTTGAAGCTACCAGCATGAGTTTGACCAAACTGCGGGAGGCAGTGGAGGACAGGGGTGCCTGGCCTGCTCTGGTCCAGGGGGTCACGAAGAGTCGGACACGACTAAACGACTAAACAACAACAACAAGTCACTTGAATCTTCCTTGGCTGTGGGAAGTGGCTGATAAATTTAACAAATTTAAAACTAGTCGAATTTTGCTGCTACCATCATTAGCATTGTGGTGTGATTGGGGACAGCCACACCAGCTGCTCAGGAAAAGTTGCTGTTTTCTGCTTTGGGCCTCTGAGAGAAAATGACTTGCAGCAAAATATAATTACTTTAGGGGACCCAGCTATTTCTCCCCCTTGATTACAGTATCCTGTTGGCAAAAATATTGGTTAGTTACATACATTTACTCAGCAGAGAATAAATAATGGTTTCTCGCTCCCCTCCCCTCGCCTGCATTAGGCAACATATAAAGCTCCTTGCTTTGGCAGCAACTTAAAATTTACCAATAAACACCTGCCACGTTTTTAAGAATAGCTTTTGAAGTTCAGCTCCCCCCACTCTATTGGCAACATCCCTACAATTTGCCAGCTAGCCTCACGCTGCTCCCATTTCTCTCCATCCTGTTAGCTTTGTGCTGCGCCTTGTTAAATTCCCTCTAAGGAGCGGAGTGGCGGGGGCAGGAATAGCGGGCTTTGCAAAGAGGAGGCCTACAGGTTCTGAAGAGCACCTGATTGACCTGGAGGCTGGCATCCCCCTGAGCCTGGGCACAGACCCACGGGGGTCTTGGAGCGAAAGGGGAAGATGCCTTGTTTCCTTGCTAGATAGGTTTGGTAAAGAACATTTGTTAGCTCATATATAAATTAATGAGAAGAATGCCAACATGGAGCCAGCTAATGGTCCCAGGAAAGTGCACATGAGTGCCTTCTGCACAGGGGCTGGTTCAGATACTTACCGGTGGTGCCAGTCTACGTATAATGGAGAAATTGCATGGCCGCTCCACAGGCAGACAGCATCAGATGTGCGCTATGTGGGCAGTTTGGGTTTTATTGGGGAGTTTTTTGTAAGTTGCCTTGAGCTTTGGAAATGTATAAACATTTCAAATAAAGTATCTGCATTGCCCTATTCTGTCCCCCTAGGCCAAGGTGGGGCAGGGGGAGCAATTCCCCCCATCTGGCACCTGTGAAGAGTGCCCACATCTCCCGTTGATTTTGTAGGCATGTTTACTTGCTTCTCCAACATGCAGAAGCCGTCACCAACAGCTGGAATCTCTGAAACATTCGTGTGATATTTGGGGTGAATGCTCCTAAAGAGTTTCCCCTTTTGGGGCAATGTTTAGTGTGGAATAACAGTACCAAGTTGCCATTTTAAAATAATTTTATACCACCCTTCAGTTGTGGCAACTCCCACAGCAGATGAGCCACTTTGGAAACGGCATGCAGTGCTGTCTGTGCCATTGGCAGCCAGTGCAGTCAGAGTGAGGCCTCATCGCATGGTCTCACATCTTGTTTTGGAGACCAGTTAAAAATAAAAAGTAACCACAAGGAGGAATAATGGGGTGGCTTTGTATTTCATCGGATTGTTGTTGCTTTTAGAGAAAAGGGGCAGGTTGGGAACCCAGCGATGATGATTCAAGCAGAAATTTCACACTGACGAGATATAGAATTCTAAACAAGTTTTAACTTTATTGCTTTAAATAAGCTGTGGCCTCTATCATTAGCCACAAATGCTATGAAATTGGTATCTGGCTGATAATTTTATTATCTGGTTCATGCATTTTCTTAAGCAATCTCTCTCTCTCTCTCTCTCTCTTCTCTGTGTGTGTGGTGTGTGTGTGTGTGTGTGTGTGTGTGTGTATATATATATATATATGCTTTCGTAGATTTTCACGGTACAGGAATGCAGGTTTTGGTGTCCTCGGGTGTCTTCCCGTGTAAAAGTTGGGGTGTTAGGCGACGTTTCGACGAGGTCTCACTCGTCATCTTCAGGCTGGTGCTTTCGGCTTCTTGTTACTGGAACAGGGCAGGATCTCAGTGTTTGAGTTCCTATAAATACTGTTGAGGAGGTGTGGTGTATAGCCTCCAATGTTCTGGGCAGAGAGGAAGTTCCCAGGCTAGTGTGCCTTTTTTTTTCTTTTGTTCCTTAATTACTGGAGGGATATCTGTAATTTATGTCTGTAATTTATCTGTGGAGAGGGTCTGGGTTTGGGTCTGGTGTGGGTCTATGAAATACCCTGCAAAGTCTGCCCAGCCACGTACATTGGACAAACAAACAGACGAATAAATGCACGTATCGCAGAACACAAGAATGCCGTCAAAAAAGAAGAAAAAACTTCCTCTCTTTTCCAACACATGAAAGAAACAGGACACGAAATTAATTTTGCAGATTCCAAATTGCTCTTTAACATGGAACATCACCACAAGAGAATAATCATGGAAGCCATCGAGATAGAGAAACACCCTCACAACATGAACAAGCGTGACGACACATCCCGCTTGCCAGACATCTGGAAATTAGCCCTCCCCACAAAAACCGACACCAGATCCAGAGGCACACAGAACGCCATCACCAATCAACCACACCAGACCCAAACCCAGACCCTCTCCACAGATAAATTACAGACACCATCCAGTAGCCAAACCATGGTGGAACCTCCGGATACTGCACCCCCCTGCAATCCCTACACAGATCTGGCTGGCACAGGCCACAAAACCACAGCTCGCCCCTATACACGAAGCCAAGCCAGAGCCAAGTTCAAGCCAAGTTCAAGAGGTCAAGACACGAAGGCTTTAGCAACTAATCCACACCTAATGACCCACCCAAGTGGTACTCAGGATATCACTCAAGAAATCACTCCAGATATCCCTCCAGTAATTAAGGAACAAAAGAAGAAAAGGCACACTAGCCTGGGAACTTCCTCTCTGCCCAGAACATTGGAGGCTATACACCACACCTCCTCAACAGTATTTATAGGAACTCAAACACTGAGATCCTGCCCTGTTCCAGTAACAAGAAGCCGAAAGCACCAGCCTGAAGATGACGAGTGAGACCTCGTCGAAACGTCGCCTAGACACCCCAACTTTTACACGGGAAGACACCCGAGGACACCAAAACCTGCATATATATATATATATATATATATATATATATATCGCAGCTCTATGCCTTCTGAGTAAGGAACCAGCAGGGATAACTAGCCTTCTATGAAGTGTGAGAGTGTGAGCAGCCTGAAACATGTAAATTTCAAGGAGGTTTGTTCCTCTGTGGATTATTTAAATGTTAAGTACATCCCCATGTCAAAGAGACACGGAATGGAATCTAGAAACTATTATCTCCTGGAGGAATGAATCTTCCATTTCACTCTCTGGTGCAGGAAGGGCCAGTTCCCAGTCATTTGCACGGCCAGCGGGTGTTCTTTCTCTGCATAATGGGCTGCCCGCCTGTAATTAACACATGGGGGGAGGCTGTCACTGCCAGCTTTGCCTTGCTGCTTGCTGCTAGGAGTTCTCAGGATGCTGGTGTGTTGCGCACAGGAGCAGCAATGCTGGGTCAGGAGA